GCGAGGTGCTGGAGGAGAGTCCCTGCGGTCGCTGGCAGAAGCGCCGCGAGCAGGTGGGAGCCGGGCGCGGAGGGACGGAAATGCCGGGGACGGGGACGGGAATGCCGGGGATGTGGATGCCGGGGGATGGGGACGCTGGGGGATGGGGCCCGGCGCGGCCGCAGCCCCCGGGCACGTTCAGCGCGGAGGAGCCGGTCGGAGCCCGTAGATGCCCAGAGCAGGGCGATGGCGGCGGCCGGAGGGCGATGCCGAGAGCGGCTGCGGGGGGAGCCGCGCTCGCCGTGCCCTGGTGCGGGGAGCCCCAGCGCGGGGAGCCGGGCTCATCGTGCACCGGTGAAGGGAGCCAGGCTCGCCATGCCCCGGCGCGGGATGTGCCGGTGCGGGGTGTCTGGTGCGGGGACCAGGCTCGCCGTGCCCCGGTGCTGGAAGCCCCGGGGTGTGGGGATCCGGGTGTGGAGAGCTGGGCTCCGCAGCGGGGGCCCAGGAAATGGGCTCACCACGCTCCGGTGCGGGAAGCCAGGTGTGGAGGTCTGGGCTCTGTTGCAGGGACCGGGCTCCCCATGCCCTGCTGCAGGAAACCCTGCTGTGGGGAGCTGGGCTGTGCCCCGAGGGAGCAGGGCAGTCCCGGGCACATCCCACACCAGTGCTGAGCCTGGGCCCGGGGGGGTTTGGCTGGGCTGGGTCCTGGACCTGTGGTGCAGGTCACAGGGTGGTGACCCTGGGCATCTCCTGCAGAGACAAGGACTTGCCAGGTCAATGGTGTGGTGACAGGGCTGGTCCCCACAGCCCCGCAGGGCTGGAGAACACGGATACACCAGAGGTTACTGCTTTCCAGAGAGGGGGTTGGTTAACTTCAGCTCATCTTCCAGGGCCAGGGCTCAGCGTCAGGATCATGTCCCCTGGAAATGGATCCGGAGTCTCCCTGTCTGTCAGGACACCCAGGAATGGGGACCAGAGTCAGGGGGTGAATCCTGACCCCAGGCAGGGGTGGGACAGACAGAGGTCACAGGCACTGTGGGCTCCTGAAGGAGAGAAGACCCATTCAAGGCCAATCTGTTTGTCTTCCATTATCTCCCCCTCCCCCTTAAGGACCTGGCCTCCAGCACTTGGCTCTGCCTTTGGCTCCACTTCCCAGGCTGAATTCCCAGTCTGGGCTTTGCCAAGACTGTGATAACCTGCTCCTGTCAGTGCCATCAGCACCTGCCCTTCTGGCCCTCAGTGCTGCCAGCTGCTTCCACACCCACACATCCTCCTTCCATCCCTGCTCCTGCTCCCTCTTCCCCTCTGACAGACACCTGACCTACACCAGAGTGCACCTGCCTAACCCTGACCCTCATTATAAGGATATTGAGGGGCTGGAGCATGTCCAGAGAAGGGAATAGAGCTGTGGAAAAGTCTGGAGCACCAGGAGCAGCTGAGGGAGCTCAGCCTGGAGAAAAGGAGGCTCAGGGGTCACCTTCTTGCTCTCTGCAACTCCCTGACAGGAGGGGAGAACCAAGTGGGGGTCAGGCTCTGCTCCCAGGGAACAAGGGACAGGACAAGGGCCTCAAGTTGTGCCAGGGGAGGGTCAGGTTGGATATTGGAAAAACTCCTGCCATCTGTTCTGCCCAAATGTTGCTGTTTAACGATGAGGATTTTAACACTAACTGAGCACAGGAGCTTTCTGGAGTGGTGCTGCTGTGGCTGGAACTGGCCTCAGGTGTTCAACCCCCTGTGCAGGCGTGGGAGAAGTGAAAGCCCCCCCAGTGTCATCTCCACGCAGGTGCTTTGGTGGCTGTGCCATGTCCTCTGTCCACGGGGACTTTTCTACCGGAGCAGTGGGAAGGGGTGGGTTGGCCTTTCCAAGGCCAGAACAGCTGTTCCAGGACAGCCCAGAGAGGCAGGAAGGCTCCTTGATTGCAAAGTGGAGGAAGTTTTATGTAGGAGAGCTGTGTTTGTGTGAATTCACAGCTGCCTCATGACGTGCAGGAAGGGACTGAGCGAGAGCAGCCGCGCTGTCGGTCCCGTCTCCTCTCAGGAGCTGCTCAGCACAGGCTCCAAGTGCCCTGAGCGCTCCTGGGATTTGCACCAACAGGGATCTCCCTCGCTGTCCTGAAGATTTGTTGTAATTATTCACTCTCCCTAATTTGTTTTTGGCGGGAAAGCCGAGCCCTGTGCCTGATCTCAGGTTTGGAGAACGGGCCTGCTGAGGTGGGAGTGCCCCGGTGGGCAGAGCCAGCCTGGCACACCCTTGGAGTGGTGTTGGGAGCCTGCAGAGCTGACAGGACACAGGCAGGTCCCCCCTTGACCTGGGGGGGCTCAGCAGGGTCTCAGCCTGGAGAAAAGAGGGCTCGGGGGGGAACCTCCTCAGTGGCTGCAACTCCCTGACAGGAGGTGACACCGGAGCAGGGTCGGGCTCTGCTCCCAGGGAACAAGGGACAGGACAAGGGGAAACAGCCTCAAGTTGTGCCAGGTGAGGTTTAGGTGGCATACTGGGAAAATTCCTTCCTGGCAAGGGCTGCCCTGCGGGGATTTAACAGCCATGTGGACGTGGCACTTGGGGACAGGGGCAGGGGTGGCCTTGGCCGTGCTGAGGGAGCGATTGGGCGCTGTGGTCTCAGAGGGCTTTTCCAACCCAAACCATTCCACGATTCCGGGGCTCCACAGGCTGGAAGAGAAGCAGGGTAAGATTCACTGGCATGTAAATTAGCATTAATGATGAGCACACGAGGACTGGCCCCTGGTTTGCTCACAGGACCAGGCGGGTGTTCCCACACCACGTGCCGGGTTACAGGCAAGACCCAAGCGCTGTGCTGGGCCCCCCTTTGCCCCCCCCGAGGAATAAATCCCTTCCTTCCACAGCCTCCTTTGCCTGTTTATGACCATGCATTCCCCAGGGACCCACAGTCACAGGTTGCAGTTCAGGAAATAGAAGCACACGAGGTGTGAGGAGAGGCAGCCTCTCAGCCCCAGCCCCAGCCCTGCTCTGCCCTCTCAGGGCTGCCCAGCCCTGCTCTGCCCCTCTGAGATCTCCCCTGCTCTTCGTGAGATGCCTCTGTCACAGAATTTTCCTCGTGGGAAAGCCAGGGCTCTTTCAGCTCTGCTCTGATGACCTCATTTACTTCCCCCACCCGCCCTGGGCCATAAGAGCAGGAGGGAGAAGGAGCTTGGCTTTCTGCTCACGTGAAAAGTTTTGCACCTTTGCTGGTCTGAACACGAGCTGTGGCTGAGCCCTGGCGCCTCGTGCTGGGATCAGCTGGGTTTATCCGGGTCGCTTTGCTTTCCCAAACCCTCGATCCGTTGGGAAAGGGGATGCTGTGGCTGGCAGGTGTGTTTGCTGCTCAGCAGCGCCGGTCCCACCGTGTTCACCTGTCACATCCCCCGGGTTCAGGCCGTGATTTCCACACTTTGTCCGTCTCCAGGTGTCCCCACCGGCCAGTTCTGCCCACCGTGCTCCCCTGTGGGAATGTCCTGGACCCAGCATGCTCTGGGTGGCCTGTGGTGTTCCTCAGGGCCTTTCCCTTGGGATGAGAGTGGTTTGTGCCGGGGCAAAACTCAGCTGTGGTTCGTGGACTGAACTTTGGAGTTGATCTGAAATTTATCCTTCTAAGCAGCCCCGGAATTGCCTCTTGTTTGTGACTGTGATGCTGCTTCTGACTTGGACTGCAGGGAGGGAAGGGATGGGCCATCCAGGGGGACGAGGACAGGCTGCAGAGGTGGGACAGAGTGAACCTCATGAAGTCCAACGAGGCCAAGGGAAGGTGCTGCACCTGGGTCGGGGCAGTCCCAGCACAGACACAGGATGGGGAGAGCCGTGGGGAGAAGGGCTTGGGGTACTGGTGGGTGAGAGGCTGGAAATGACCCATCGCAAAATCCCTCATCAGCCCTGGGCTGATCCCACAGTGGGGGCAGCAGGGGAGGGGGGGGATTCTGCCCCCTCAGGTGAGACCCCACAGCAGAGCTGCCTCCAGGCCTGGGCACAACATAGAAAGTGCCAGAGCAAGGGGGAATGGCTTCCAGGGGGCAGGGTTGGATGGGATACTGGGAAGGAATTCTTGGCTGTTAGGATGGAGAGACCCTGGCACAGGTTGCCCAGAGAAGCTGTGGCTGCCCCATCCCTGGAAGTGTCCAAGGCCAGGTTGAACGGGGCTTGGAGCAACCTGGGGTAGTGGAAGGTGTCCCTGCCCATGGCAGGGGGTGGGACTGGATGGGCTTTCAGGTCCTTTCCAACCCAAACCATCCTGGGATTCTGCAGTTCTGACTCTGAGCTTCAATTTCTAAACCCAACAGGATGAAAGAAGGAAAGAAGGGGAACAGTCATAGAAATCAAGAGAAGAAATTCTGAATCGCAATTTAAAGAAAACGAAGTGATAGTAAAAACTCTGCAAGAGGGGGTGGGCTTGAGGTGTTGTCGCAGGTTCCCACGAGATCAGAAAATGAAAACAAAATGTGGAAAAATAGTGTAAGCGCTGGAATCCCGTGATGTGCAAGGGGCTTCCCATTTTTAGGCATTAAATGAGGTTTGCAGTTGGCAGGAGGATCACCAGTTCCGTGGTGGAGGATTTGGGAAGGCTCCAACTATGCAATATCTGCCACCA